TCGTATCCTTCATATGAGAATATATTTTTCAATACTTCTTGTTATCCTTCACGACAGCTCGAAGAGGTCAGTGAAAGGTTTAAACTAAATCAAAATCAAGCTTAAGTTAAGTCTCAAACTGAGCTTATAGTGTGTCAGCGACGAAGAACTTTCATATTAAAAGAACTTCGCGTTCACAGCGTCCTGATATTAACACCTTAGCGCGGCAGTAAAATACTTTATAATATACTTTATATTATATTATTCGTGTATTATATAAGTTCGTGTCACTTATTATAATATAATTTATAATATGAGTTTGACAAATAATATGAGTTTATAATATATGTTAAATCTATCGGCCTGCAATAAGTGATACGAACACGGCGGCAAGCGTGTGCTAACATGTGAAAACTTAACATGGAAATGAATACATAAAACAATGAATAAAAGGACTTTAACAACAATAGATTTTAAGAATGTAATGCAAGCTCTTTGTTTCTGTCTCAAAACTGATTTGTTAAGGAATAAAAAATTAAACTTTATATATCATAGTTGTGGGGTTTTAGCAACTTTTCATTTGTTACGTTTTGTATATAGTATTAAATTGTTCAATGGAGATAGAAAAAAAAGTGTCATTGATATGAATAAATGAATAAAAAACATCTAATATTCCTTGTTACACAAAAATTTTTTTTCAAAGCACCATAAATTTAATGCTTGGAAAAATCCAAAGCCTGAAAAAATTTCATGAGATAATTTCTGTTATGTAAGGCACGCATTAATGACGGCGTGTCGTCTGCCATAACGCGTGCCTCGAACGGAGCAGTAACATTGCGTCAAGACCTGAAAACCTATTACTTATGAAAACTTATTACTTATGAAAACTTATTATCAAGACCTGAAAACTTATTACTTATGAAAACTTATTACTTATGAAAACTTATTATCAAGACCTGAAAACTTATTACTTATGAAAACTTATTACTTATGAAAACTTATTATCAAGACCTGAAAACTTATTACTTATGAAAACTTATTACTTATGAAAACTTATTATCAAGACCTGAAAACTTATTACTTATGAAAACTTATTATNAATACCTTCTTACAGTAATACCTTCTTACAGTAATACCTTCTTACAGTAATACCTTCTTACAGTAATACCTTCTTACAGTAATACCTTCTTACAGTAATACCTTCTTACAGTAATACCTTCTTACAGTAATACCTTCTTACAGTAATACCTTCTTACAGTAATACCTTCTTACAGTAATACCTTCTTACAGTAATACCTTCTTACAGTAATACCTTCTTACAGTAATACCTTCTTTCAGTGATACCTTCTTACAGTAATACCTTCTTTCAGTAATACCTTCTTACAGTAATACCTTTTTTCAGTAATACCTTCTTTCAGTGATACCTTCTTACAGTAATGCCTTCTTTCAGGAATACCTTCTCAGGAATGCACCTCATTACTGGAATACCTTCTTCATTATGTATACCTTCCATTTGTCATAGCTGAGGTATATGTGATGAGCAGGGATGATATACGAGAAAAGAGGAATGGATATATCAAGCAGTGCTGAGTGAAGAGGTATTTTTAGCTCATTTTCTCATATATGGAAAAAAGTGCACTATTGTGCTCGCCATGTCCGTCCGTCCGTCTGTCTGTCTGTCCGTCCGTCCGTCCGTCCGTCCGTGACCTCAAGTTTTCGTCGACGAGATAATGCGCTCTCTGTCACTCACCGCAGTGAGTACTGAGTTATATTTTTTCATGTATATGATCTTTAAGGTTGAATTAATGAATAAATGAATAAATGAAATGTTTAATCAAGGTGCATGAGTACAGTTAGGTCACTAGGGTAAACTGATAAAGTTATACGAGCATTATTAGGATGAATGAACAGCGTTGTACAATTTAGATGAATGAGCGCAGTGGTATATAATGAACGTGAATGAGTAGAGCTTCATAAAAATAGAACGGATACTATAGGTTGCACTGTATAGGTATAGGTATAGGTATATGTATAGGTATAGGTATAGGTATAGTCATTCGGAAACCTGCTTTTCGATCTCCCGACGCCAGCAAGAAATTTAGTTCGACTCATTGAAAAAACGAACAAGAAGATTGTTAATAAAAAGCATGCTCTGGTCTTCAATCAAACTTGCATAAGAGAAAATCTTCTGCCTAAATACACCAGTATAGGTATAGGTATAGGTATAGGTATAGGTATAGGAATAGGAATAGGTATATGTATACCTGTATAGGTATACTGAGGAAGGGGGCCTGGAGCGAGATATACGTCATGAATAAGAGAATATGAAGAGATGAATAATGAAGGAACATCGCAATATTTGGTGAAGGGGGGAGGGGGGCGGATACAAAGAGAGAGAGAGAAAGTAGAGAGGAAGAGAGAGAAGGGGGCGCCTCTCCTCCCATTGGCTGGGGATGGACCAATAGCAGACGTGGGGGTCAACAGCTTTATTGTGATTGGTTGTTGACGAACCAATAAGATTGCAGCGATGGGGGGCGTGACCCCCGACGGGGGGCGTGAGCGAGGAACGCTCGTCCCCCATTGGCCGGAAACTCTGCGTTTTTTATCGTTATTTTTTTGCGAAAAAAAATATAAGACAAAGTCAAGATCCGCTATACCGGCGGTAACTAGACGATCCCCATACGATACCTAGACGATCCCTACACGATACCTGGACGATCCCTCCAGATACCTAGACGATCCCCATACGATACCTAGACGATCCCCACACGATACCTAGACGATCCCCCACGATACCTAGACCATCCCACACGTTACCTATAAGATCCCCCACGATACCTAGACGATCCCCATCCTATACCTAGATGATCCCCATACCATACCTACACGATTTCTTACACTCGCATCGTGTTTTACGAAAGGCCCACATATAATATTTAATATTACACGTTCTATATCAAAGTTTATAAATTTTTCCATACATCAATTATTATTTCAGCGTAAAATTCGCAAACATCATTTAAACATCTATTGTTTTCTTTGATAATATCACTGACTATTACCAGACATTTAAATTTCATAAATTATGCTTCTTATTTCGAAGACGTTGTATAATAAAATTTAAAATGTAAGCTAGCTTAAGTATTTTAAATTAAATTCCTATGAGAATTAGACGATCTTAAATTTGAATGCATTTGATTAAAACAACGTTCCCATATTTGCTGTATTTTATTTTCCACCTCGTATTGAATTTAAAATTTAAAATGTAAGCTAGCTTAAGTATTTTAAATTAAATTTCTATGAGAATTTGACCATCTTAAATTTGAATGCATTTAATTAAAAACACGTTCCCATATTCGCTGTATTTTATTTTCCCGCTCGTATTGAATTCTTCGAGCACATAAAAATGTAATTTATGAGAGGTTATGACCGGCCTAGCAAAACCCAACTATAATTTCAAAGCTTCATAATTTATCAAATATCCAAAACTAAAAATCCAGATAATTTCCTGATCTTTGTTGGTCGCTGAAGCGGTGGCCGCTCAAGCGGCGCCCAAACAAAGAAAACATTTTTGCATGAAACAAAATTTGCGCGATAAATTAGGCGCCAACATAGGCCGACTTCCGCTGGTAGGCCTACTTATTTTGGCAAGTAATTAAGGAGGATATCGGCCTGATGTCCATTATTAAGGAGGATATCGGCCTGATGTTCATTATTAAAGGGGACATCGGCCTGATGTCCATTATTAAGGAGGATATCGGCCTGTTGTCCATTATTAAGGAGGATATCGGCCTGATGTTCATTATTAAGGAGGATATCGGCCTGATGTTCATTATTAAGAAGAATATCGGCCTGATGTTCATTATTAAGGAGGATATCATCCAGTAATTGCTAATTTGCTAAAACCTGCAGAAGTTTAAACTTCAATTGCTGTATTAATAATTAATATCGAGGTGCAGTATTGATAACGACCATATGAAGATAAATCATGAAAGTTCAAGTAATTTATTTAATGATTATTAATTAATGCAACAAATTCGTAGATCAGCTTTTTTGTTATTCGATAATTAATTGCTAATATACAGATTTAAGTTTACTGACGAACGTTCCACATTCATAGTTGACGAAACCCAACTCGTGTTATCATAGTTGATATCATGCATCTGAACATCTGCTTCAACATTGTTATCAACCAGAACCAAACCACAGCATCAACATTTATAATAACATGACCGATGAAACGAATGAAAAACCTTAGATAAATTTATGTACGTTTGAATATTAATTTTATTGGAAATCGCGGAGTCTAATAACATATATAATACTTCATAAAAAACGGCGTAAAATTAACGGTTCAGACGAGACGATGAGAACCGTGCGTCGACCCTACGTCGACAACACACGAATATCAACTATAACAATAATACCATGAAAATTAAAAGATGGTTAACAATACAACGATTGAAACTATAACAGTGAAGTGATGTTGATAATGATATCATAGAAAGTTTAACAATAATCCTGATCGGTTTCAGTCGCAATAACATAGAAACGATACTGGAACGATTTCAACACATTACTTAAGAAACATCAACGATTATATTGGAACGATTTCAACAATATTACTTTCGAAACATCAGCGATTATACTGGAACAATTTCAACAATTATACCCTGAAAATGTTAACGTTTGGATCAATATTTGTAATCAATCGATGTCAAAATAAGGCCATATATTGAGCTATAATTCCAATCATGGACTTCCTATAGATATAGAGATATTCAAGCCAATAAATAATACAATAGATACCAATACAATAGGATGAATTAATAATACAACTGAACAATAAACAAATTGATGCGTACGTTAGCTATAACGGTATTGTCAACAAATAATTGTTCACGGTTGAGATGCTGCCAATAAATGTCCATCACCGAATTTCATTTGAATTTAAAACACATTAAATGCACGCGAACTGCAACGACGAAGTTAAGACAACGTGAGTAACAACAGCAGCCGCCATGAATACGATATGTCGGAACATCAACGACAACAACGACAACAACAAAAGCAACGACAACGACTGCAACGACAACGACAACAACAACGACAACGACGGCAATGACGACGACGACGACGACAAAAACAACGAAAACGATAACAACGACAAACATAACGACAACGACAAAAACAACGATAACGACAACAACAGCAGAAAAAACTACAACGGCAAAGACTACAAGAGCAAAGATAACAACAGCAACGACAATGACAACAACGACAACAACAGCAACGACAAAAAAGACGTCGCCGGCACGAGATCCTCGCGCGCAGCCAACTGGAGCGCTGCACCTGCTGCTGCTGTTTGACCAGCTGCAGCAACAGGCTCTTCACCTGTCGTGTCAGCAGCAGCAGGTGCAGCAGCGGCAGGTGCTGCACCTGATGTTTAAACGGAAGAAGTAGATATTGCTGCAGCAACAAGTGCTTCAGCTGTCTTTTTTCAGCTGTAGCTTCTCTTCATTCATCAGCTGATGTTGATGCAAGATGTTGCATCAACATCTGTGTTTACTACCATTGATGCACCTGTTACTTCAACAGGTGTTGCTGCAGCTGATGTTTCAGCTGTTCTCCCAACAAAATGCTTCTACCAACCAAGCACTAGAACGAACTATGATAAATTAATAATCTATAGAAAATTTAGAGCTTTGCTCGGGGCGCCGGGTGCAGCAATACGCAGGTTGAATGGAGTCCCATTTGTAGGCCTCTTGGTCGGGTTGAGTTCGGATTGGCTTGAATTATACTTTGAATGTTAATAAAGTTTTAATTTGAATCATAGGTGGCCAGATTATAGGTGGCCATCTACAGCAAACGTCTTTTGATAAAGCACGCAGAGGTGCTTGATGATTTTCAGCTCATCGATAATTTTGTATGATGAGTACATGTTAAAAATGAGATAAAAATGCGATAATGATTAATACTTTTTCATTTGCGCTTCAATTAAAGCTATGACAGCTCGTGTTATTAAAATTAAATATTAACGCAAATGCTGTCCAATAATATCTTTTTCACACTTTTGACCATGGGAAATGTTGATTTGTGTGGATAAATATAGTAAAAGCACTGCCACACTGGCATGAACAAGAAGTATGATGTAGACCATACTTTATGATCGCCCCGCGACATCGGTTGGTCGACATCTAACGATATATTTTCACAGGCATTATATGAGCTTAATATGTTTAACCATTGATCACTAGCTACTCATGTTATTAATATTTGACAGGAAGTTGGTCTCAAGGCGGAGTCTTTGTCCGTGGAAGGTTGTAAGGCGACTCTGAAGTCAAAGATTTTAGTTAACTTTTAAGAGGCACGGCTAGAAAACTACACTGATAATTTCTAACTACTGATAACAGCGGAGAAAATCGTTATAACAACCGATTAAAAATTTAGGGCAGGGATGAAGGTTGTCCGTATTCAGCGGAGACTTGCTATTTTAAGCGAATCTAAAGCATGCTTGAGCGATAACGATCGTACGAAGTTACATTGATGTTATAGGATCAGTTGTTATTGATCGATAAATAAGCGGATACGGTGACAGTTGTTAATAGGCAGTGATTCGGTAACACAAAATTTAAATTCAAAGTTCTTAAACCGGGAGATTGACAGTAACAAGCTTCAAAAACCAATGTGAAGATTTTAATTACTGATTAATTGGTACGGTTAACAAAAATGTTTGAAATCTGAATATTAGTGAATCGTATTTTTATAATAACTTTATACAATCAGTTAAGAAGTAGCATAGTTGGTGCCACCCAAAACGTTGAAGGAAAAAGATAGTGCAGTGAACAATTAGTTAGACTAGTGTTATTCAATTATCATAATATATAAATTCAATTTTTGGGCTATTCAATTATCATAATATATAAATAATTGGCTGAAGAACCACTTGCCACTCTTGAGCCAATAAAATGATTGTCATTGCAGCGTATGTGGTCGCTGAAGGAAAATTTTCATTGCGTGCCAGCCTGTGATTGCTTGAGAGCAACAGAGGCACACGCATGAAAACACACGGCAGAATATTGCATTGCATGAGCTTATTTAGTGAAGATTGATTATAAAGTGGAATTCTAGAGGGTATACTCCACCCTGGTAGAGGGTAAGAATAATTATTCTACCTGTCGTCACGCAGATAATATCCAGAAAAAAATTTCATAATCCGGGAACCAGCGTTTATGTGCACTGGTGGTCATTGTTGAACCGCGTTGAAAATCTAATGTGCAATCTAGAATCGAGGCGCGAAAAAATGTATCCTTAACATAATTATTAGTGCCGTTATATGATTTATATTAACATATTATAAATTTCTGTCGCTAGTTTCACGCCATTTTTAGACCGATGATAACCTGGCTTCCACTTCCGTATTCCATTAATTATAATATTTTACGGGATCAGCAATAGGAAGGTTTTCATTGTGAATTTATGTCATTGAACATTTTGTTATCCATAAAAATCTATCCCCTCTTTCAGATTGGTTATTTTTCGTATTCAAAGTCAGTCTTCAACCTTGATCATGTGGAATAGGGAAATACACCGTATATTGAAGTTTTCTATATTGATGTATTTCAGCTTAACGAATCAGACGTCCGCGCAATGTTGCCGGACTGAGCCTGAAATGCGGAATAGCTTCTATTACCTATGTCATTCGGTTCATGAATACGTGTCTACTGGTGTGGTGTACTCATCGGTGTCAAAATATCAATTATCATTTGATATTTCAAAAGTAGGGCCAATACTGCTGTTCTTTATTACATGACCTTGAACTTTTACATGTGAAGTTTAACTTGTATAGAACAAATGTGAAATTTTTATTAGGTTTTAGTGAGAAGTTTGAGGCGCGAACCATTTGTATAAATCAGTTTTTTATTTCTCATGCAGAAAGAGAGACCTTGGAAGTCTAGATCTGAATCCGAAGTTTAGACCTGACGATCCGAAGTCTAAACCTGAATCCGATGTCTAGACCTGACTTCAGTTCATACTCACATTGTTGTTCTTTTCGTTGTTGAATGGAAGCTTGATGTGCAATCGTCTTCATTCTCCTGTCCCGGTTGAACTGCGAGAAGTGCGATGAACCTATACGGGTTCTAGCGGATACGGGTTATTAAAGCGGATAGTTTTGTTTAGAATCTCGAGTTACGCCCTGGGCCTATACTTTCAAAAAAAGTTAAGATATCGTAAGTTCATCCGCCAATCATTGACGGCCTTTCAAGCAAAATCCATCAATCATAGACAAGAAAATAGAGCGTAAGTACTTATATATACGTTCACTTAGCGAGTTTTGAAAATATGGCCGCTGGAGATGCTGGCCGCCGTAAAAATATGAAATGATGCATGTTAAAATATTGTAAGTATTGGTACACATATATCTGTGACAGCTATCTATGCCTGCACGAGTATTCATAAAGAGTATGTAATTGAAGGCTAGTCTCCCACGCTGCGGCTTGCTTCTCCAAGTTGACATTTACGACAGTTTTGATGGCCGGCAAGCAATCCCGTCCTGTACAAGTCACCACATCACATTCCTCGAGTCTTGACCTTTACGACGACAAAACCTGCGCGCTTGTCTCCGTTTTGTGACATTTCCCGGACCATTCACCGGACGGGCAGCGCTGGTCCGGATATGCAGATGGGCTACATTCAACCGGCCACCGGCTTCCGGTCTAATTGGAAATCACGGACATATTTGATTAGCTTCGTTGTCAAGTGGAATTGTATTCTAATTATCATTACTTGGTACTCTCAAGCTGCCAAGAAAAGGAGCTTTAAGATTCCGTTTACGTTTATTTAAGTTGTTGATCAACGGTCTATCACTGGCATTTTGGTAAAATACATTATTAATAACGCGAAAAATTCACACATGTGGTGTAATGGCATATTGACTGATAATAGCTGCGTTACAGAAGGCGATTAGAGTTGCTTTGTGTTAAATTGACAATAATCTTCACTAGTTTCAGTGCATAGGAAAGAACAATTCATATACAATTCATAGGAAAGAACCATGCATATCCAATTCATAGGAAAGAACAATTCATATACAATTCATAGGGAAGAACCATGCATATCCAATTCATAGGAAAGAACAATTCATGAACAATTCATAGGAAAGAACCATTCATATCCAATTCATAGGAAAGAACAATTCATGTACAATTATATTTCGGAAAGATGTAATAATTCCATTATTTATCTGCTTATGTTTTTATCTCGCAGGTTGTGAAGGGAAATGAAAAAACTCTGGAAGTGAAAAACACTAAATACCTGCTACGTTGTTTCCAGGAGCAACTTGATTATCAATTGTAATCCATCCTCCATAAACGAGTAATTAAATAAACTTCTGACCGTGAACTTGGTATAAATTGATAAGGATGTTTTAGTAGCATATGAAAACACTGAATACGACATCGTAAATTGCAGCACCGCAACCTCTCCCAGCAATTCAGATGCACGGTCATGATTTACGCTGCTCAACATCACTATTCTTATTGCCCAGCGCCACCATTTCTACTGCCCAGCGTCACCATTTCGCCGCCTAGCGTCTCCATTTTCGCTGCCCATCATCACCATTTACGCAACACAGCGGCACCACTTACGTCGCTCTGCGTCACTATTCTGTTTGGCGATATTTACTGCTGAGCGAGGAAGACAGAAGGCGCCTTCATAAATCTTCAGGCAGACGACGGAAGAAAGTTTACACAATTCTGTCATTAATTTTCTCCAGATAGTTTAGTTAGTTAATAATGTAGAGGAAATAGATTTATTGCTGATTTTTAAGTTGCAATGTATTGGGTTTAGGATTTTGATTTTGTCATTTGTAGTTTTCAATCACCTTAGCAGGGTGATACTGCAACATAATGATGATGGGATAAATAAATGACGAAATGACATCTAACAGCATAGTTTAATAATTCTCAATTATACATTTGAGCAATAAGAATTTAAATCACTTTACACTTCTACCATTAGACTTTTAGCAGAGCAAATACATAAATATAAATGAGGTGAAATCAGTGTAAGATGAATGCTTATGGAATTAAATAGTTAAATAAAGTTTAGGAAATAAGATTGCTTTGAGTGAAGATAAAGTAATTGATTGCCGGCAAGAGCCAGTAATAATAATACAGCTTACGTCAATGCCGTCAAATCTTATTTTGATCATGTGGAAATTTAAATGTTTAATACGATATGGAGCTTGATGGTTTGAAATAATTTATGACTGAGGCATACAAAATTAAATTAAAGTAAGCAATATGCAACTCACCAAAATGAAACTATATAGGGCACACCAAACTAAGGTATACAGCAAAGTTCAAGGTAGACATTTGACTTATGGATTGATTGTGAACGGCGTTGATGAACAGTATGACGGCGTCAATGTATATGCACTAAAAGGGTTCGTCAGTTGTAGAGCAACTCTACCCTTCAACGTACGTCTGTACGAACTCTACTCAATCACGGCCGGACTGGTTTCCAGTTCTATGCCAACAAAATTCTCTAAGAAAACTTACCCTAAACTACTCTTAATATTACTCAAACATTACGCATAAATAAATTCAGTTTAACAAGTAGAAATTCAATGAATGGTGAAAAATTTCCCCCACCATCTCTAAACATGATAATTGTGCCGCGCTTGTCGCTGTTCAACTTAATGATGGGTAGCGCCTCGTGTGGCCCGCCAGTCAATAACAGGCTTGAAAATCTCGATCGCATTGGTAATAATAGTGCATGTAAATGAATCAAGTGCATTCACGTCGCGTTGAATCGTGTTGAGTCATGTCGAAGATTGAATCGTGTTGAGTCATGTCGAAGAGAGTACAAGCACGTTGAATCACACAGGTTGCTTGGCCAGCGTTATGCAGATGGCTCGGCCAGCGTTATGCAGATGGCGCGGCCAGCGTTATGCAGATGGCGCGGCCAGCATTATGCAGATGGCGCAGCCAACGTTATGCAGATGGCTTGGTCAACGTTATGCCGATGGCGCGGCCAGCGTTATGCAGATGGCTCGGCCAACGTTATGCAGATGGCTCGGCCAGCGTAATGCAGATGGTTCGGCCAGCATTATGCAGATGCTTCATGCATAATTCAGCGCGAGGATCATCCATCGGCCACTGATTACCATTCACGGGACTTGGCATTTATGCCTCTATTGGTTATTCATCCAGAATAATTCGCGGGCTTTAATAATCCCTATGATTCAATTCCTTCCTCAATTTTCCTGCGGTCTTTCGCAGTCCAGTTTTAGATTTTCCTTTTTCCGGGTCACTATCATTGCTTGAATTGTATATTTTATATGATCGGCTTTAGAATATTTTAGTTTGCATATTGCAGTATATACAGCGAATATTTTAATTACTAGGAAGCAAATGGACTCCCGAGGAATAAATTTCTTGAAAATTTGTGGCAAAGTCAACTGCATTCTCAACGCTAATCTGATTCGAAGGCAATTTTATGACAAATTTTCGGGTATAAAAACGAATTCAAGTGAATCCTGGTGACAATTTTCATAAAAATAAAATCACGTTGAAGGCACTATTCCCCACCACATTACGCTACCTCATCACACCACATCGCCATTACTCACGCACTTCACACTTTCTCACCACACTACATCACCATTACTCGCGCACTTCACACTTCCTCACCACACCACATCACCATAGTTGAAAATATGGACCTCCAATCCTGCCAGTCAATTGTCTTCATGAATTACACGAGCGTTCCTGATTTAAACGCGCGTTTGTTTTCCCTATAACTCAAACAAGTTAGAGTGGCACAAAATGACCTCCAAAAACCTGTTTCCTAACCTGTTTCTGAACAAATTCAATCGGTGCTGTCTCATCGTAAGGAACAATTTACATTTCCTGCGTCGATTCTATCTCAGAATCTTTGTTTTGGGACCGATCTGAAGCCTATGTAATTGCTGTACTTGTGCTCTTTTCATCCTCCACGAGCAAAATTCATTCATGAAGCTCATGCATGCATGTGGTGCTGCTTATCGTGGCCAAATCCGTCGCTTGTTTCATATTCACAAGTGGATCGTAACTTCGGTGCTTGGCTGCGAGCATTTCGTGCGGTTATACAGGGCAGTTTTTGCAACTGCCTCTCCTATGGTCAGTATTAGAAGCATTCTTCCGAACAGGTGATCTAGGTAAATTATAAACTACATGAGATAAATCTAAATATTGAAGTGGTTAGAGTTCTTAATTATATTTTTTTCTTATGTATTTATTGTGCTTTATGTGAACTCGAGTTCGATATTGACATATGTCTCAAGAGTTATCTGCGGCTTGCATGTTGCAAGAGGCTGGTTGGTTGAAAACACGCCAGTTAACTATTGACGCGTGATCCGGCAAACTTGAAAATTGTTGTCTTAAGGTGGCTTTTGTTTATACTTCCGCCTGCACCGACCTGCACAAATTATCGTGCCTGCACTTGAAGTGCATCCTCATATTTTGTCACATATACCGTCTCATATTCTTTCTCATTTTGCAGCCCACTCTCTCATAGTATTAGAATGAGAAACATCATTTCAAGGTCTTGAATAAATTTGCTGTTATTTAATCGGAACGAATTCTTCGGAGCTGTGAGGAAACTCGTAAGGTTAACTGTAGTCAAAAATATAGGGCGTCTTTCTGTAGGGAACTTCCGGATAATTTCCCGATAAAGAAGTGGGTGTGTAGTGCTCCATGAAATCAAATTCGGCATCTGTGGTATGGCGAAAAACAGCCCCCAGTTCTCCAGATGTCCAAGCTTTCGAATCGCTGCTGTTCAGGGAAGCGTGTTCAGAAACTCTATTCAGCAGAACATGAGTTGTTGGACATGTTCAAAATGTCGCGCCGGCGCCCAAGTTTGTGGACATGTTGAACATGTCGCGCCAACGCCAGAGTTTGTGGACATGTTCAACATGTCGCGCCAGCGCCCGAGTTTGTGGACATGTTGAACATGTCGTGTTTTGAACACAGGAATTGCTGTGAAAGAATGAGCTGTCACACAAAAGCTGCCCCCATATAATGGATGCTCTCGCAAAAACCCGATCTGTTTTTGCTCTGCAAATCGAACATAAGGTTAAATATCTAATGGACGTTGTCTCATGATTATCTCAATTCAAATAATTATTGAACTTCAATGCTAATTAACTTAACTGTAAGTTAATCACTATGATTATTGAATTGAATATACAGACAAGAAAAATACTAAATTATTACAGAGTAGATTAAATAGAAACGGCACTGCCGGAACAAATTCCAATTGAAAATTATTCTATTGGAAACACCACAAATTTTTCAGCAAAGATTATTATTTGAAAAAATGATCAGTCAAAAAAAGTTTAGAATGAAAACTCGTTCTGTAACTCTTCAGAGCTGAAATTATTTGCCTCAGTTGGATCTTTTATAGAATTGTATGTTCGAGCGCAGCATATTTAACTTTATTTTCTCTATCATATTCCAGGCTGCTGTAGAAATGCAAACTGCGTATAACGGGTTCGTTTTTCCATGAAATTTGTTAGACGTCGCAGAGATGGCGGCGTGATAACAGCGCTGCCAGCGTCGCAAGTTATTTCTTTTTGTTTCTGGGCTGCAATGAACGACGTCGTGCGCGTCACGGCGAAACCAAATGTCTACAATACTTCAGATAATATTTAATGGGCAGCGATGTCCAACTCTCTCTATTGGGGCAAATTTTCGACGTTGTGCGTACTCTAATTTGAAAACATTCTCTGTGCTTAAGACGTATTTTAAACAACTATTAAATAAACATTCACAATGCTTCAGACGTAGTTCAAACATATACATTATAGTGAACATTTTCAGTGCTTGAGATTTATTTAACGGTTAAATAATTATATAAATCATTTTCAGCGCTTAAAATATAATTTAATGGATGAAGGTACAGAACATTTAATTTTAGAGCTTTAGATGGAGCTTAAGGGGAGCGTCTAGGGTAAAATTTTGGATTTCGGCTTTTCCGGTTTTTAGTCTCATCTTAAAGATGTGTATAAGAGACAGGNCGCTGACTCACCCATGTTACCAGCCGCTGACTCACCCATGTTACCAGCCGCTGACTCACCCATGTTACCAGCCGCTGACTCACCCATGTTACCAGCCGCTGACTCACCCATGTTACCAGCCGCTGACTCACCCATGTTACCAGCCGCTGACTCACCCATGTTACCAGCCGCTGACTCACCCATGTTACCAGCCGCTGACTCACCCATGTTACCAGCCGCTGACTCACCCATGTTACCAGCCGCTGACTCACCCATGTTACCAGCCGCTGACTCACCCATGTTACCAGCCGCTGACTCACCCATGTTACCAGCCGCTGACTCACCCATGTTACCAGCCGCTGACTCACCCATGTTACCAGCCGCTGACTCACCCATGTTACCAGCCGCTGACTCACCCATGTTACCAGCCGCTGACTCACCCATGTTACCAGCCGCTGACTCACCCATGTTACCAGCCGCTGACTCACCCATGTTACCAGCCGCTGACTCACCCATGTTACCAGCCGCTGACTCACCCATGTTACCAGCCGCTGACTCACCCATGTTACCAGCCGCTGACTCACCCATGTTACCAGCCGCTGACTCACCCATGTTACCAGCCGCTGACTCACCCATGTTACCAGCCGCTGACTCACCCATGTTACCAGCCGCTGACTCACCCATGTTACCAGCCGCTGACTCACCCATGTTACCAGCCGCTGACTCACCCATGTTACCAGCCGCTGACTCACCCATGTTACCAGCCGCTGACTCACCCATGTTACCAGCCGCTGACTCACCCATGTTACCAGCCGCTGACTCACCCATGTTACCAGCCGCTGACTCACCCATGTTACCAGCCGCTGACTCACCCATGTTACCAGCCGCTTACTCACCCATGTTACCAGCCGCTGATTCACCCCCAAAGACACCCATGTGTTCTTTGGGTCAAGACGGCGTCATTGTGGCTCTATATGTCTTGGGAACATAATTCAAGTTTATTGATTTGATATTATCAACTTTACGTGAAATAATAACGTTCTAGAAAATATAATTAAATAAGTGATGCAATAAAATTTTACGAGCAAAATTTTCAAGCATAAGTATTAAACAATACAGTCCCAAATACCCCGCAGTGTCCCGAAAATTAAGTTGCAGAGTAGTGTCTCATACCGGGCTATCTGGGATACATCAATCGATGTTAAATAATTGATTCACGGAATTTATTTTATTTTCAAGTTCTGTGAACAATTAAAAGAAAAGAAAACGACGAGTTTACTTTTGAAAAAATTATTATTCAATACAACATAGAATTCTGAAATGAATTCTTATTCGAATTTTAAGAAAAATTTGTGAGGCGATACTGCACTCACTGTGGGCACCAAATACGTGCCTACGAATAAGAGAAGAATTATTTAAAGTTAGAAAATGTTATCAGAAGATTCAGAAGCCCGTTTTCTGTGTTCAATATACCGTCTATCATCAATGTTATTTGCTTATAAAATGTTTGTCATTCGTTAGTTCATGGAACCAAAAGGATTTCTTAATACCCTCTTCAACTTGACCTTCATGAGTAACTTTATTTATTCAGGTAACTCTCGTCTTAATTTATTCTTTATTCGCCCGTAAAATTCTTATAGATCGATCTAAAACCGATAAATTCACTTCGGTTATAATTAATTTTCCCCCCCGCACGTGCATAGGCAAAAACTCATTGCGAATTTCATAAAATTAAAATTCACACACAGAGCGGTAGACATAATATTTAGTGTCGAAGGATGAAGTCGAAATAATATTGGGATGGAGGTCTTATTATTATCAAAGAATACAGGGCAGGCGGTGTTTGCTTGGTATTCAGTAGAAGATTCAGATTTGGGACAATATTAGGAATGTTATATTTGTTTAGTAACAATTAACTCGAAAATTTACATAATATTCTTGAACTGTTGTCCAGTGTCAAGATCATATATAGAAGAAAAATCGTCATAAGTAAAAAATTGAATACTTTGTTCCACATTACTAAGAGAATTTCTATTTGAAAGGAGTCTCCAGATACCTAACCTCAAGTCAAGATGTCGGCCTGACCTATAACCTGCGGCCACTCATGCCACGTGGCCGAATAAGGGCAAGCGTATAAAGCACCAAAAAGGTTTTCTGCACGCGTGTCGGAATGCAGGCACTGAGATTCCGTCACGTGGCCATCCTATGCCAAGACTGCGAGCAATGGCACGGCCAGGATAGATGCCGAGGCGTACGAGGCATAGGCTTTATAAGGCGCAGGTCAAAATACCAGAAAGTCTTGGCAAGGCCGTCATGCCCGGTATGGTCGTGCAGCTGGTGATGAGCCGCTGCCACAGCCCGATTTGGATGCGCGTAAAAGCCAGGGCATAAGGTTGAACTCTCGGCCAAATTTGTTGGTCGCGCTTTCAACTTGGATTGCAATGCAGCGTCGAAGGCTTAGAATAGCAGGTGGGCATCGAATAAAAATAACGAAAAAAATAGCGTACTCGTCCATTTTTTTCTCGGCAACAAGCAACTATTTGGCATACACTGAGACGAAGATCTGACGGCCGTATACGCGCGTCTGCGTACAGGTGAGTTTGATGCACATACAATCTACATTCAAAGAGCGTAAATTTCATAGACGAAGACAAAGTACAGGAATATTGTAATGCAAATGAACATTAAAATCACTTGCTTGCTTGAATCGCAAGCAAACCAGAAATATAAAAGCAAAGACAATACCACAAAAATTCACCATATCTTTATAAGAGAAAACGTTTCGGAGTCCAGCTCGATCCATCGGCAGTTCATAACACAAAATTCTGTTCAGAAGAAGTTCAGTCCTAGAAACACAAGTACAATCAATTAGTAAAGTAAAATGCACTGTCAGGTTTCAAAACGGAAAATAAAGTTGCTCCCAAGTGTGACAATAGGAAAGTGGTTTACTGTTCTTTTCCCTACTTTGGCCCCGCATCTGAGACTATGTCAAAGTAATTAAAAGTCTCATTTGCTAAATATCTTCCGGATGTAAATCTTCATGTGTTGCTAGTTAACAATTTTAGAATCGGCTCGTTTTTCAGGTTTAAGGATACCCTTCCTGCTCTTATGCGATCGTCACTAGTTTACAGATTAGTTGAGCGCAGTGCGCATCAGCGTACTTCGGTATGACGCACGCAATTTCTATACTAGGCTGGCTGAGCATAAGGGCAGGAGTTATAGAACGGGGAACCTACTTGCACATCCACCGCATTCTGCTGTACGTGTTCATGCCAAGCAGTGCAACACCTCTGTATCTGATAGTGATCTTAAAATTCTAGCTTCCACATCCGGTGTTACTGATTTACGATTTTTACAATCCCTGTATATATTCAAACAGAAGCCTAGACTGAATGTCGCTTTTAGTTCCTTTCCTCTTGAAATAGTAAATATATAGGCCGTTTGTTAGCGTTAATTTCATGTCTTATTTAGTTATTTTCCGTTTTGAAACCTGACAGTGCATTTTACTTTACTAATTGATTGTACTTGTGTGTATCATTTAATCCTCATTCGTAACCTAAGTTGTAGTTACTTGTGGAGCGCCCCGAAAATGGCGACATGCGTTATTACTTTATAATTTACACATATGAAATTAAGAATTACATTTACACAGATGAAATTTTAAAATATTTATTGATATAAGAACTTTTATCTGGTAACATTCAATTTTTCAATCCTCACCTGGATACAAAATGGTGCATACAGATCACCAGAAAAGTATAAGATCGAAACATTAAGCAATGAGCATGTAATTTGTAAATAGAAAAAGAAGAATTAATGAAGAAAACTCACATAGTGATATGAGTTTTCTTCATTGCTTATTTTAGCGACAATTTTTTGCGCGCGGCAGTTGCAGGACACTACAAAACAATCGCACGAGGAGGGTGAACCAAATTACATTGCGGTCCTTCTTACCTTATTTTGTATTTTCAGATGCATGTGATACCAGGAATTAGCGTATAACACATGTAATTTAAATTTATTTATGTCAATAAATAAATTATGTATATCAATTTCATGTGTATATCAATTTCATGTGCGGACTTTGACATGGCAAACAATTGTTAAGGCAAACGAACTTTGTCAACTGGTCATGGACGAGAGATTAATAATCGAAATGGATGAGCTAGAATATTATTATTACTATTATTAATATTATTATTATTACTATTGATTTCTACTCAATTTATGTCGGAAAAAATATATCCGAGACGTTGATTTTTCCTCGATTGTCAGCAAAAAGACAAATGGAGAACAAATAGGGGTTTATAATTTATTTGTGCGTTGTTCATATTTAATAGTTGAATATTCGCTATATTGTTGAGATAATCTATTTCTGACAAGTTCTGCGTTCGGTATGACGTACTTGTGATGGATTGATTTTCTTTTGCGTGATTTAAATGCTAAATTTCATTCCGTCTCTGAGGTGAGATTCTAAACCATTAGCTAGATATTGTAAGACTAAACATTTAATTTTTAGCTGAATTTAGCAATGCAAAACTCAGAAAATTAATCATTCGCGCGGCATTCAGAATGTTTGCGGTAAACACTCAGTCCTCGACAACGCAGCATCGCATTAGCGCGAGTTCAGGTCGTCCTCGCGCATCCGAATTAAGCTGATCGAGCCTCGCACGACGGTTACTGGACTTCATAAGATAGTTGCTGGACTTCATAAGATAGTTGCTGGACTTCATAAGATAGTTACACGACAGTTGCTGTCGTACAACTTGTCTGGGCATGGTTCACTTCTGGGCCTCACTGGTCCTCACTTTTCATGGTCCACTTCTGGGCCTTACTGGTCCTCANGACTGAGTCCTTAATAATAAACGTGCTAATTTACAAAATGCATGACAGTTGTTGGACTTCATAAGATAGTTGCACTGCGAGGGTGAATTTCGTCAAGGCAAATGAAATTGAAACGGAGTTTACGACAGATAATTTCGTTGAAAAAAAGTATAATCTACGTTATTTCAACGTCATATACCTGGTTTGTTGGCGTTGCAGCAGTTATGAAAAAATTTTATTTGAAAATTATTTATTCTGTCACTAGATTCATGCATTGTCTCCAACTTTATGCAAGTGTGCAAAATTTCAAATCTATTGGACACGGCGTCGTGTGTTAAATATCAATGTCTTTCTATTCTTATCAACGTATTTAACACTTTAAAATATCAATCAATAAAGTGTGTTAAATATCAATTATAAGATTTGTAGCAGACAGACAGACAGACAGACAGACAAACAAACAAGAAGTGAAGTTAAAGAGAGGTGTTGTAAAATGGGGAGGTGAAATGGCATTGCAGTTATCAATCTTGGAGAGGCTTTTCGACATTGTAGTTTCTATCATGAACATTAGGAAATAAGTCTTAGGGGGAGTGAACATGCAAGATTTCTGCCGAATTCCTGGACATTGCCGTGCATACAGACGGAATAAAAGATCATATGTAGAATTTTCGGACAGTAGGTGAGCTAGAGATTCTCACAAAAAGGCAAAATCGCATTTATCAAAGATTCTAAGTTTGTCGGAAGGAAATTTTAAACTGTACAATAATCATATATAATCACAGTGAAAGTGGAATAAATGATGGAAAAATCTTGTAGACCCAGAGCAAAAAAAAATAGATTAAATAGATTTAAAGGCTTACTGAGATTTTAAATCTCAAGCTGATTTTGAAGCACATGCATTGCGATCATGAAGCACATGGTGATTCTGAATTTTTAGATGATTATGCTGTGCTCAATAGAAAGTTTGAAATAATATTCGATATGCGCCTGCAGTGAAATATCTATTTTAAAACTGTGAGGAAAAAGGTTTTATGCTTAATTTCGGTTAATTGCTTAGAGGAGCACTAAAACAGAAGAAAAATTAATATTAAACTAAAAAATTTAGTGACATTTTTGAGATCTGTAGGTCCACGCGGATTCATACACGGTTCCAAAACAATAAATCAGTCTTTGTAGCGGAGTTTACTTTCATTTATTACGTTTTTAATTTCGTCTATTTATTGATATTTTTATTAATTTACCAGTTTTATGATCTGTACATCTTAATATTGCGACAATTAAATTCCTCTGCTATCCGTTAGACACCAGACGATAAACAAACTTAGAGTTAATGACCGAAACTTGCAAAAATTTAAACATTTTTTAAGGAATTTTTCGCAGACAGCTCATTTATTAAATCAAAATATCAAGCGCGGGCACGAGTAATGTGAATATACGAAGTGAAGATTTACAAATAAATTGGCCAATAAAGGACAAGATTACTAATTACCTAAATAAATGTTGAACAGCATTCTTCCACCGAATTAATTTACGAATATGAAAATGCATTATATTAAACACTTTTTTCGCAAGTCTGAACACCCATTCGTTGAATGATTTATTAATATATATTCCGTATATTTTAAACTCTGCGGATCTCCCTCTTAGATTTTAGCCGACACGCGACCAGGAGCAAATAATATAACTAAGTACTCACTAGCGCATTTTCTCGTCGACAAAAACGCGAAGTCACGGATGGACAGACGGACAGACGGACAGACGGACGGACGGACGGACGGACGGACATGGCGAGCACAACAGCGAGCACATTTTTTCCATAAATGACAAAATGCGCTAAAAATGGCAAGACTTCATTAGGCCTTCGAACAAGCGTGGCTGCCACAATGAAATAATTTTAAAAATAAATTTGTAGGATGTTCCTGTTATTAAAACAAATTTTGGTTCCAAATAATGAATGACATTTTTTCACGGAATTGAGTCGTTTGAAACAAGGTATTCCAGAGCTTTATCCTGCATCAAGATGTTTCTAAAATCATCATTAGAAGCATATCACTCATTCATGCTACAGGGGAATCATGAAAAACTGGGTTAGAATAAAATATGAAGCTCTCAGTACAAGTTTCTACTGTATAGCTATAGCTCAGGTCTAGTATCGTATATGAGCTCTTCAAACCGAAAAAAGCCTAATATCAATTGAAAAGCCTTGCAGTATCTGTGCTAAATAGTGGTACTTTCTCTGGAGACATTTACTGTCTTAATTCTGACGTTTTACATGTTGAGATTGTTTCACCATTCTAACGTTCTTGTGAACGTTGCCAGCGTTGATGAACAATTATCCTGATTTTGAACTGGTCTCACCTCGGCGCTCGGTGACATGACAGAAAAATTATCCCAAAACCTATCACTAATAAGAGGAGCTTCACAAAATCTGCATAAATATTGAAGACTGATAAATATTAACTTTATTATTGTGCACACAATCTGATCAATTCCTTCTTCAAATTCCTTCTTTTTATGTGCTGTTTAAGTTTCATTTGGATCATTCTCAAGTTAATTGACTCTAATATAGAATGATTTTGAGCGGTAGGCTTATTGATGAAATGAGAGATCCGGCGAATGTAATTATTTCGATATGAAAAACTATGGAATATGTTAGAAAAATTATTTCAGAAGAGGAAAATTCCTTAAAGCGATTACATTTTACGTGAATGATTGCTTTAGGGTCTCTAGTAAAGCTTCAAGTTCAAGTAGTAATTAACATTGTCAGTAGGAAAGCATTAACAAAACCGAGGCTCAATTTCAGAATTGCCCTAGGGAACGTAAACCTAAACGTTAAATTTCAAACCTCGTAGGTTGATACTTCAAAAAATGCACCGTTACACTTAATCGCAGTCTTGTTAACGCTGACGAGCATTAATGAATGTATAGAAAAAATAGCTTATTCGAGGTCGTCAAAAATTATTCGGGAATTATCTCTATTTAAAAAACATGCTTGAAACTGTATGACGTTATTTGAAATAAGTTGAAAAGGCTTACGTGCACATATTTCCCCCTTTGGGTAAATTAACAGTTATTTGTTTGAGTTATCCTATGGATCTTTAATTGGCATATAATTCATTTTTGCTGGAGAACGAAAGTTCAATCACAATCGTCCAAATTTCATCATCTCAATGTATACCAATTAAGGCTTTATAAAAGCCCACAATTTTTGGGCCTTAATTCCACGAAAACACAAACTACTCATGTCCATAATTCGTCAAGACCGTAATTTTTGGCAGCTCTTAATGAAATTTATATTTATTTACCCGAATATTAACACTTTGACTGCGATTGCTTCATCTCGTACTATTATTTCAAATGTTGTACTATTATGAAACAAGATTGCCAGACAGTCTTTTTTTTTCGGACAAATTCCGCGATTTAGTTTTTTGTCAATTGCGTTGGCCGGCTAAAATTTATGATAGGTGTACTTCCTAGTTAAATTTAAATAAGAAGGAAATGGAATTTTTACACCGGAACCTAAAATATACTAGTATATATTGAGTTATAGACCCTTTTTGACGTTTTAGGTTCGCGGACTTGGCCATATTTTAGGCCAGCTGGCAACCCTGAATTATGCACCACTACGTCTTGAAGAAATACATTTCGTGGTACACATATGGCTCAATACGCGGGGAACGTGTTAAATGACTAACTCAGTTTCTGGAACGGGAATAACGTGGTATCAACAGCACCTAGTAGATTTTCGAAGGACCACGTCGAATTTGTTAATAAAAATTACTGAACAAAATCTATAAAAATCAGTTCATCTCATAAACTCCAACCACGTCAGTTCCGTCAAACACGAAAAGCCATTTTCTTGCCATGTGTTCATATACATGGTCTCGTACTTGTGATGCTGGAGAGCCCGAGACCAAGTGAGCACACATATGCTTAAAACTGTGGACAAATTTATATATCGAATTATTGATGAAATGCAGTAATTTTTGGTACTTTGCAAGGCATGGGAAACCCAGCATATTCAAGACTCTTGACAGGACTATGAACATCTCGTGGTTTGAGCATTAACGCGTTATCCTGCTAAAATCACTCTGCCTGAAAAGCGGATTTTTCGAAAAGGTTCGGAAATTTGATATATTTCACGGAATATAAATATCAAAATTATTCTCAATCATGACACGGGTACGACTGCTTTGGTTGCCGTTTTCTAATTCATCGAAAACGATTGTAGAAAAGCAAAAATAAATCCGCAAGGCTTTAAAAAGACAAGAGAATCTGCCGATATCCGGACAGTTAAGCAAGCATAATTTCTCCGCTGACCAGCTGCCTGCATTGAGCCAGTTAATTTATCCAATTGTTACCTGCATCGAGCCAGTCAGTTATCCCAGTGGCATGCAGATTCTAGCGTCCATAAATGAACTGCAATTACATTAGAGTTAAACTGTGGCAACATCGGTACACTTGACGACCTTGATCTTCGCACACCAGTGACCAGTCACGCACACTGTTTTTAACTCAACGCCCGGCAGGTGAGTGGAGACACAGCTTGAATAGTTGGGGAAACTTACGGATTTGGTATGCGTGATGGCACGCCTGGTGTACTAGTGAATGATCTTGAATGACACTAGGCAACTCGGAAATATATTTCTTCCCGTTTCACGGCACGCGGAAATAAGTACAATGTTGTAGAATTGTAGACGATGGTGCTGGTTAGCGCAAGCGAAGCGTGTGGCGTTTATTTTTTTTACAGGTCAGATGCAAAGCAACGGTAGTCTTCAGGTTTCTTGCCAATGTTTTTAGAAGACTGAGGAAAAAGAGATATCAATATAATGGAATCTAGAAGCATGACTTAGGTTTTACAATTCACTGCCCCTCTATCCCGCGTGCAACTAATGGCAGATTGGATAAGAGTGTCGTCAGATATCCGGCTAAAAGCAGGGTATGCATGTTCATTAAGCTATGTCGTTATTTCACTCAACTTGGGAAATTGCAGGTTCCTATTAACTGCAATTTAGTTATTACGACCACCACGAAGTTGACATGATTACCACTGGAATCGTCAAGATTGGTTATGAGCTTTAATGCTGGTTGGGTCAAGATTTGTATAGTCGTTGCAGTTTCCTAACGATTTAGTCTTGCAGCTAATATCGGGGACCTGTATTTTATTGTTAATCTTCTCTCGTATTCGGGACACTGGTGGGAGTCCATTTTTGATGGAATAAAATTTAATCCGGTTGGTAGGTAACAATTGCCCAAAATTCACTTGATCCTTCGCTACTAAAAAGATGCAACGAATTTGATAAATTTTGAACGTTGCTTGATAATAATACATTCATTTCAGGTCCGGAGGACATCACTCTCCCTCGGAAAATTTTAAATTCTTTTAAGGTAACAGACTAACCAATAACCATGCCTCTGTGGAACATGATCTTTGGTTTGTCATCGGACTCGGACTCTGACTCGCCTAACGATAGCGACAATAACAACGTCCCAACGCTCAGGAGCTTTAACAGACCAGGCCCCGACGGGCAGATGCCACCTACAGACAGGAGATCAAATCTGGAAGACAGCAGAACGCCACCAAGTGCCCGCCATGCCCGGGACATCAGACGCACGCTTGAGGACCAGACGACTCCTCCAGAAGTCGGACCGAGTCAGAGTTCATCTGCAACAGACTCAAGCAATGCCCCGAACTCCGCGGGTACGAGTGGCACAGACGATTCACCTGAGAGGCTGAAATTCGTCAAGGAGCATAAGGACTAAGACTATGCTTTTTGGGAAAAGGTTCTTTGGACGGACGAAACAAAAATTGAGCTTTTAAATCACGCACCCCAAGAAAGACCCCACTCCTAATAAAACGACATCGAGATCGTCTTTGGTTTTCAACGCTGTCACGGGTCTTGAAGCGTCCACAGGCGTGTTGCAAGGCAATACATGCGTGTTGCAAGGCAGCGCAGGCGTGTTGCAAGGCAGCGCAGGCGTGTTGCAAGGCAGCACAGGCGTGTTGCAATGCAGCACAGGCGTGTTGCAAGGTGGCATCAACGTCAACCATGCAAATAATGACCAACGCTCAGGAGCTTTAACAGACCAGGCCCCGACGGGCAGATGCCACCTACAGACAGGAGATCAAATCTGGAAGACAGCAGAACGCCACCAAGCGCCCGGCATGCCCGGGACATCCGACGCACTCTTGAGGACCAGACGACTTCTCCAGAAGTCGGACCGAGTCAGAGTTCATCTGCAACAGACTCAAGCGATGCCCCGAACTCCGCGGGTACGAGTGGCACAGACGATTCACCTGAGCGGGGGATCTGGCGAAGCAGGACTGGAGGTTACCTCCTCTATGATGACTACTCACGCCCGGTGCGCGAGACCAGAAGTCGCCCCGGCGCCTACATGCAGGATATTGTAGCCAACACGGGTGATGATGAGGTGCCAACTTCCTTTGTCCTGTGCCTGGCTGGTATTGTATCAGTTGTTCCCTTGGGCATGTTTTTATTCAAGCTCGTAACTTCGATCAAGGATATTTTTAGTCGCTAGATTCGTGTAGATTTAGGCTCGGGAATTTTATTGAAATTAATTACGACGGTGGTGATTTTATTCTATCTAGACGTTGGTTTTCCAGAATGATTTTACCTGCCTCTGATTAATTTTTATTGAATTTGTATATATATTTTTGAATTTTCGAGTAATACGCGACAAAACTATCCATGGCTGAAGTTATTCCTCCTAAATTGTATAAACCTTGAGAAAAATTTCGAGCTTCAGGCTTTATTCAGTGTTCGTTTAAACGTTCAAGCTTTCATAACAGCTGGCCACTACTGCCTATAGTGAATTCTTCCCTGTATTCTTCAGAGAATAGAATTCTAAAGAATTCTAGCCTGATATGGTTCACCCATCGAACCTATAGGGCACAAACTCCAAAATAGTCTCGGGCACTGGAATCTTTCACGGGCTTGAAGCGTGACGATGCAACACACCAGTTTGGTGACTGAATTACTCGCGAGGTGTGGCATGTCTTGGCGAGATTTCCTTCCATCCAAGCGGCAGCGTAAGTTCCATATGAGCAATTCTCGCTCGTCAATTTCAGATATAATGACGTGCAAATGGGAACCATTCCACTCTTCTCTCCCGTTGAACCTGCCTTACTGTGCTACTCGTCACTAGGAATCCCGGAATGCGCTTTTAGGTTTCCGTTTATGCCGCTTACATTGAACTAGTAATTTAGCCGTTCATCAATCTAATTTGACAGCAAAACTAGAAACTTTTAATTCAATACCGTACCAACCTTCACGAAGAGATCAAGCATTTGACATAAGGCGATGATCTGATTTAAATAGCCTACTAAAGGTAGGAAGAGAATGAATGATTCACGACTTGATCCATTGCTGGAAGTTTCATGCAGTCTCGAGAAGTGTTCTTCACGAAACTGTCTTACCAGGCTGCAAGCTTCTTAGACAATGGCTTACATAGTAGGTCCCAACATCCGATAAATGCCTCCATATTTATTGCAATGACGTAGAAAAGCTGGGTAAGCAAGGGCCATTCCATTGAATGAATTTTTTTGAAAACGTAACTTTTTTTTAAAGAAGGTTAAAGTACGTTCAAAACACTCTTCGTATTGTGAGATGATATTGAAAGAAGACTATCATAGAGGCTGCTGAAGATCCATGCTTCATGAAAATGTCGTTAAGCAGAAAAAAGCGTGATGCATAGCGTTCCCACAGAGAAATATATGCAGGTAGTTGCATGGATAAAGGCAGTCATGACTACAACCTTGCCCAGGACCTGCCGAGGCCCATCCATCAGCGGCATGGCAAGCAAGGCCGGCGGGCGGAGGGGTAACTTGAGTCGTTTCTAGTTTTTTGCTTAAACGGCGAAAGTGAAACTACGCTCGAAACAACGGGGTCCTCCCTTTATGAAAAATTCTGATATAACTTACTCGAAAGTTGAGCGATTATAAAAAAATAGTGAAAGAACTGTACAGATGATCGTATATTTTTTCGATTTTTGTAGGTAATAAAATTGTTACGTGATGCTTTACAAAAAGCTGTAAGCAGAAGAGGGAAACGCCAACATAACGATCCTACCAATTTTTTAAAAACTCGAATACAAGGCACCATATAACAATATTTGCGCCGTATACGGATTAGTTTCCAGTGTAACACGACAGAACTAAAAACTCGCGATTTTCATAATTGCCGATGACCCTCTGGCAGCCGCGCCCGATCGAGGGGTAATTACCTCGAAGGAGGGTCGGGGTCGCCCTCACTTTGAGGATCCACCCTCATTTCGGGATGATCCGCCCTCAGGTGGGGATGTAAGAAGTTTCTGGGATGAGAGAGAAGGTCAAGGCCTGGGGGCGAGCACTAGCTGTGCGACCTCTCTGGTCAACTGCGGGAGTTGAATTCCTCGTATATGTTTTTGTTCACTTTACTATTAGCATTACTTAGTTTTCTACTATTCTATTAATTCTCTTTCCATTAAATGACCATATCGTCAGCTTCATGGAGGTAGATTGACATGACTTTAAAAATCTGGTTTGTATTTACGCTGAACATTATTCAGAAACTTCTGAATTCCACCATATTTCCGATCGATCAAGCTTTCAGTTCGGTTCAGAAAACTCCAAATTCATTTCGTCAAGGTTTGGACGATTTAAAATCCAACTTTAAGTGAATTTCGGTGCGAATTATTTATGATTAGACGCTCACAAACGCGGTAGTAGAGGAACTACATTTGTATACCTAATCCTGGCAACCAAATTGAGACACCTGATCTATATACCTAGTGCATATACCCGTACAATAGATGTCAGGCTGTACAAAAACTCAGCGTACAAATAGCAGATTTTGCTATCATGATCTGGATGGCCACAAAGCTCGAGTTTTTCCCACATGTAGATAGTAGTGAAGCCACAATGCTGCCTTGGCAACGACTTCCCCACACAACGATCGACCGTACCAAAGCCAAACCGATTATTATTGTAGCTTAATTACGCTGATCAGCGTAAACTCAGAATTTGGTGGAATATGTGATCGTATGAAAGACGTTCACAAACGAAAAGCATTGCTCCTTAGAAGCTTCTCTTACGTTCCCATTTTAATAGATTACGCTAGTTTCGAGCAAATTTTTAAATTCATGTCCAACAAATCCGGTTCCACCGAACATTGTCAACAACAGCTTTTTGGAGGATCTAGGAGTTGACTTAAAACTTGACTTACTTAAGAGTTGACTGACTTAAAAGTGAGAATTAATATGAACCGGCGTGCATTAAACGAGAAAAACTAAACGCTAATAAATGAAAACCGATCTTTCTGAAAACCGATATGTATCAGTAACGCAAAAACGGTTTCGATCCTCCCTAATCGCCCTGAACACAGAGCCAAATAATACCAGCTAATATTTGACCCGTCACCAAGTAAAGCTGGGACGCTCACGGAAAAGGTGAATTGTTGCAGTTCACTTCCAGCGTTTCTCACTTTCTATCGCCTCCCTCCCCCGCAACAATACGTTCAGCAAAAAGTCTATATTTTAGTTTCGCTCTCAAATTCTATCAATAAGCTGTAGATTCTTTGTTTACTTCAATCTAAATAGAAAAAGAGGCCTGATTTGCGAGAAGTTGAGAAATACTCTGCACAGCATAGGGGTTTAGCAGGAGAGAGTTATGGTTTCTTTATTCGCGGAAATCAAACAGATATTGATAAGCGAATGCTGCTAATATGAACTCCATCTGCCGCTTGGACGAGCATTACTTCCATCAAGAGCATTTGATCCACCTTGTCGGAGGATTAGCACGCATCACTGACTAATCATTGAAGAGCCCAAGGACTTTCTCTTGAGTTAATGCCCAGTGGCTGAAATTTCGGAAGTGGAAGAACACAACTTTTCGACACTTCAACGATGCGTCTCGCAATGTACCAGAAATTTGTACCCAATCTCAAAGATACTTTTCCCAATATTGTCTAATTGCTACCGAATAAAGTAAATCACTTAGTTCTGAATGGTTACAGTGAAGAAGCTTCTAATTAGGGCAATCCCGACCAGTGGCAATAAAAGCTGGGAAATTAGCACGTATCCGGTATATAGTCTGAAATTTAAGATTTACCTCCATGGATAGTACAAGTCAAGGAGCAACAAGTTCAAACATGTTTTACTCGGAAATTCACAATCAAAAACAAATCCAATCAAATTTAATACGAGGTTGGTAAGAACGTTCTGGAAAACCAACGTCTACATAGATAGCATAAAATTACCGCCGTCATGATTAAATTGATTAAAACTCCTAAACCAAAATCAACCCGAGACTAGGGTCTAAAAATTTAAAATAGAAGTTGCGAGCTTGTAGAAAAGAATACACAAGGGAGTAACTACTGCAGCAAAGACAAGGCAATAGATGAAGAAAGATGCCGTCTCGTCACTCGTGGTGTCCACGATATCCTGCATATAGCCGCCGGGGCGACGCCTGGTGTCACGCAGGGGGTGTGAGAGGTGGTAGCACCTACAACATCGTGGGGGCCACCGCTCCAGTTCCAAGGGTTCGTCCGTGTCGTTTGTACCCCGAGTGTTCAGGACGTCGCTGGAGTCCAGTGCCGACAAACTCCGACTCCGTCTTTTGCTTGCAGGAGTTGTCCGCTCCGCGAATGCGGGTTTCAGGCCCTGAGCATTCCGGGCACCATGCGGTCTCCTGTGTTCTTCCAAGTTAAATCTCCTGTTGATGGACGACATCCAACTGTCGGGACGAAGCCTGATCATGTTCAGAAGCCTTTGAACGTAGTTATTGTCGCTCTCATCAGGCGAGTCAGAGTCTGACGAGTCGAAGATCAAATCCCATACAGGCATGGCTTTTGGCTAGTTCAAGTTTCTTTAAGATGTCAAACTGTTCGAGGAAGGTTGCTGTCCTCCGAACCTGAAATTAAGTTGTTAATATTAAGAAGTCAAGAATATAATATAAATTGCCTGCTTTTTTTCTGTAAACTTTTCAAATTAAATTCTGGGCTATTGCCAACTCTCAACCCATTCAAAACTTTACCCTTCACTAATGCACCATTTTGCCTGAAAATTAGAGTAGACTGATGGAATCTAGTAGGTGCTTGACCAAAATTCAGCTAGGAGACCATACTCTGAAAACTTCACCTAATGCAAGCCATCAGCCCAAAACCTTCCATGCTTAAAACTTATCACACAGATTACCATTGTGGAAAGTGAACTTAAGAGTCTAAATTCAGTTGTAATCGTGTTACATCAGTGACTAATCCTGTCACTGTTGAATAAAAGTAATGATTTCCGACTTGCTTACTGCCAGTCTGACCTGTTCACTGAAAAATTACCAGGAGCGTCATCATGCAAGTCACACGTCAAAAATCTTACCAACCCTTCTAACAGCAACCCCACTCACCCTACAGCTAGGCGGTTAAAATCGTTATGCGCATTTCGTGTACGATGACATAAAATGTCACGTGTGCAGATGTTGCCACAGTTTATCGCTTATGTAGTTACAAGCGTTCGGACGTTATTGAGACGTAATTAACGTTTGATCGTCATTCTTAATAGGTAGACAATTTGTGGCTGGAAAGCGCTATGGTTATTTCTACGTGCTAGAATGTGCATTGTGCATGTAATTGGATGAACTACCTGGCTCAATGCTGGCAGCATTTTACTGAAAATCCTAACAGGCTCAATGCAAGCAACATGTAGCTGGATGAAGTA